TTTGTATAATTATTTGTTCATTCGTTTACATTTTCTACTACCCCCTAGGGCGGTGCTACTGACTGAAGTGTATTTAGGCCATTCCCAAAGAGGGTGACATCTTAAGTTCTTATGCACAGTAGAATTTATTAGTAAATGGGCTGATTCATCAATGTCATGCTCATAACTGTGCCTGGACTGCAACAGGGAACTGCTGCTTTTTCTTTCCTAATCCTTACTATCGTCATTTTTCGTCTATTTCTTTGGTATGTTGGTCACACTCTTGTGACCCTCTATTTCCGGGGTGCCTTGATAGTCGAAGCAGCCTTTGTGCTCGTAAAGCTAGAGAGGTGAGCAGAGTAAGTCTGATTCTCTGTAAGGACTTCTCTGCTAACATCAACCCCTTGGCGCTCATATGACCAATGTAGTTGCAAGCGCCGTAAAACCTCTACAAAAACTAAAATACATTTTCTACTTTTCTTCGACTTACAGCGGGTCATACTGTGGACGGGGCAGGCAGCTCTCGAGGGCTTGAGGTTAAGGTGTTGGTCTCTCATTCTGAGGTCCTGGGTTCGAATCCATATCCGAAATATCCGAAATATTTTCTATTCTAAAATTGTCTCCTTTCACCGCCTTTCCTGCGCCGTAATGAAGAGGAATAACTTTGGATCCATAGGTCGCTATGGTTGTTCCGTTGGCTGCTTGCAAAGGTGGACCTGTCGCACCTGACGTTCTTTCAGCCCATGACGCTGTTGTCACAGAGACTTGGGCACCTGTGTCTATCAGGAAACGTTGTTTACACTTAATGTCCGTGGCAAACAGCTGAGTTGCTTTACAATCTGTCGTCGGTGTCGTAAGAGCTGTTGTTGAGCAACATTGCAGACCAACAGTCGGATCTTCTACTTCTACTGCTGGCCCGCTCTCCCGTTTCTCTGATGCTTTTTGTGTTGGAAATTCTTAAAGTGCTTGCATGGACTGCTGCAGCATCCTGCGTTAGATCCACATTTTCGATGGAACCAGCAAATAGCATAAGCTTCGGAAAGGTCTGAAACAGAATCAGTAGGTCGCACCGCTGTATAGACTTTCAAATTTGGCGAAAGGGAGTTGTACAGGTTATCCGCTTCTTTCGCAAATGCGCGGTAATCTGTTCTGTGGTGGGAGTTCGCCAGAGGAGCTCTAATAGGTTCTGGCAGCAGCTGTAAAAAAAATATGGCGAAACAGAAAACACGGTTTGTGTTCTCCCAACAAAGCTAGCATTTTTTTCCATCATCTCTGAGGGCCTGTTATCGCCCAGTTCTTTTATGCTCAATAAGGCCGCTGCTTTTTCTTCCTCTGATAAACTATAGGCCTCTATGAGGAAAGACTTGAGTGTGTCGTACTTTTGACTTGAAGGAGGTGAGGAAATTATGGATATGGATCTTGCTGCTGTAGCTGCATCAAGCGCCGCTACGACGTAGTAGTATTTTGTCTCGTCAGTTGTGATCCCACGCAAAGTAAATTGGGCCTCGGTTTGTGCGAACCACGCGGAAGGACATGAAGTCCAGAACGTAGGAAGTTTGAGAGCTACAGTTTTGATTGCCATGATTTAAGAAACGTATCGCCGTTACTAGATTCTAGGTTATGCTACATTAAATCTAGATGTCAAGACAAGTTTACCTTAAATCACGTCGGGGTCACCAATGAAGCATGAAGAGACACACAGACAAGTAAGTTGTTGCAGGACGAGACATAACTTTCATACATTCCACCCGAACAGCTTGGACGCTTTCACTGAACTGTTAACTCATGAACTCAAGTGCGACGTACATAACAACAGCACACCTCAACAATGTCGTCTTAAAGTTAGTCGCCACAAACTGATTTTTAGCTTGTTACCAAAGTTGGCTAAAATCATAAAACTGGACAGGATTGACCTTTTGGTGATTTGTTATGAACCGAAAGTTGGACAAAGCAGACCAACAAATTATCTCTGATGGCTTATTTTTCGTTTCGCAGTTCAGAAATGTATTGTAGACCCTGCATTTGTTTTCGGGCTCTCTCCCAACCCGCCACCCCCCCC